TGAGTGGACATAACAGTTCAAATATCCACACTTCATCCCAGAGCTTGAAAGGCAGAATCATCCACTGTGACCATTTCTCTCCAGACTGAGCAAATATCAGCTGTGGTAATTCCTTCCTCTTCAGAATGCTTCTGATAAATAAAATGACACAAGGGAGAAAGTGGATGCAGAAGCAGCAAGAGACTAATCAAACAACATTTTTCACATTCTAAATCATACATACCAATAGAAGATAATTAGTAAATTTGGATCACAGTCTCAGGTTTCTGATTTACATACAATTTGGTTACAAAGTAGGTTCAGTCCATATTAATAATAATTGACAATAATCTTATAGGGGCTCCAGTGCCTTTTCCTACCATTTTAAAGGCAAATCCTGACTGCATCTGAACATCAGAATTGTTTGGAATAGATATGCCAACACTTTGCTGTTTTCTTTTGGTAATACTGAAAATGCTGTTTCTCATTAAAAAAAAACTGAGCCAAATTCTGCAAACTTCCAGTTTTGGTACAACTACTGGGCACTAACATGAAATCCTTGTTTGCTATAATTTCAGGAAGTTACCAGCCAGATTTTCAAGGCTGAAGGCTTGCTATGCCTATCTCTCTCTGTCTCCCTTGTTCTTATACCTTTCCTGAAGTATTAGTTGCCATTTGCATCAAAGGCTACTGGATTAGATGGACCTTTGCAGGACACATCTACCCCAGGGTTTGAGTAATTGAAGGAAACCTGAAACAGATTCATTATTTATTCAGAAGCACAGAATTTTAAACAGAAATTCTGTTCAAGTGGAAAGCTCACTTTTTTCCCCTTGTCTTTCATTCAGAAGATTACTTACCTTGATGCTTTCACTAGAACAAGTGTTTTGAACATTTCTGCATTGATTCTTGTAGATCTTTGACTTGAGACTACTTACTTTAGACTAAGTTTGAATATATTTATCAGTATATTAAAAGCAGCTATCTTAGTCATATATCTGAGATGGAATGAAGTGGACCAGAAAATAACATTATAGAGGAGTGTAACAAACATTTTCCAAAAGAAAAGAAAGGGGAGTGGGGGCACTGAGCTACATCTCCCTATAGGAGGGTCAAAAATACAGATATTGGCAACAGTTTCCCTGTATGTTGCATTGTGAGGGGAAATGTCATAGGCTGGACTAATGAATGGTTCCTGCTGATTTAGACTGAGAGGTTTGTTAGACTCCTGGCAAAAGCAAGATTAACTTACACTAATATTTGGTCATTAAGAAGTTCAGTGGATGCACAGTTTGGAGTTTCAGCAGGTACACACAGGTGGTATTTCACTGAGAGGGAACTAAAGCACAAGGAACAGTCAGAGGGAAAGTGACATAATGAAACAGCTCACAGCAGTGCTTGCTGAATTTTTGATGCCAAGACACTCTCTCTGCAACTTTACTATGGCTCATCTGGATAATTTACCCTTTGCAATCAAAATCAGTTCAAAGCCAAGAGAGGCAGCCAAATCCAGGCAGCATACAGTGGATCTGCACCAAAAGCATCAACAGGTCCATGCCATTTATAAATGACACCAAATGACCCTGTCTTGTTTATACAAGAAAAGCTTGTCAGTTAAAAAAATCTATTTATATTTGAATGAAATCACTTTTTCCTTATCTACAATGCTTAGAAGAGATGAGCAGTGATCAGAACACTTTCTGTCTGCAGGAGATTCGTGAACATTCTCCACTGTTTTGTAGATGCTCTTGTGACTCCAAATGGTTAATGGAAAAGACATTATGTTACTTTGACCTTTTGTCAGACTGATTTGGAACATCCATAAGTCTTTTTATTTGATTAAAAAGATGCCTTCTTTTTTTTCTTTTTCTCTTTTACCTGGTACATTGGGGTTCTGGAACGAGGAGCATAACAGCCTTTTATTTGTTCTATCACATATCTCAGCTCTCTGTTCTTATATTACTTTAATTCACGCATCAGCACAAAATGTTTGATTAAAATAGATATGGGTGGGTGTGTGGTATAAATTGCACTTGAAACAGCAATCTGAAATGGGGTTAAGGAAAATTATGTCCTTATGATTAATTGCAGTACTTTTTTATTTGATGTGAGGTACATGCTAATGAGTGCTTTTAAAATATTCCTGTTGCTTCTTCTTTATTTATCTGTCCACAAAGGCATTTGATTAACTGCTGTAAGTGGGCTTTTATATAAGCATGCGTTACAAAACAGAGAAATAGGATTACAATAAATTTCTTAAAGTGGCAGATTCTAACATTGTCAGTCCAGGAAAAGAATGAAATTGAGTACATCAGCCTTTAATTTTTCTGCCCTTTCATTCAACTGATATTGGCACAGAAGCTCCATCCTGCAGATATGGGAGTTTAAATTATGGGAGGAGAGGGTTCAGTCCATACTGTACATGAAAATGTTCAAGCAAGCCATTAACAAGATCTTCCAACACCTCTTTCCATCCCCTGACACGGTAAACTCTTCACTCTTCTGACTGATTTGGTCACTCCCATCAATTCAAAGACTGCCACAACCTACCAGGGATGCCAGGAGTGTCTGCCACTGGAAGCAAAGATCACCTATCCTCCATTGCTCCCACATGCACAAAGAAGACCAAACACAATAAACACAATATATTTTGAAGGTATAAGAAAGACAAAGACAAAAGTCATATGAATAATATGTAGACAAATGAAGTTGACCCAAGTGGTTCATACAAGTCTGAAGCCTGTTTGAACTCAGTTCAATATCATATGCCTGTATTATAAAGTTTCTGTCATCATCTGCCCTTCTGAGCAACATCACTGTCTTTCAGGGAGGCCTTTGTTCAGCATCTCCTGCTACACAGAAATCACACACTTCACCAACCTTCTTGTAAGCATCTCATGGAGAGAAGTACCAGGACCTATATCCACAGCTCTAAAATGAATCAAAGTGCTTGACCATAATCAAACATATCATGGTGTGTATCTCCTCTACATTTACCACTCATCAGTTTTCAGGAAAATTTCTTTAGTAAAAATTGGCCATAACAATCCTCAGCTCTTGTGATCTCCATGTTGCAGTCATTTGCTAAAATCTGCCCTTTGCCAGCATTTTAAGCCACAACCTTCTGTTCATTATTAAATCACTCTAAAAAATATTACCAGCAAAAATTAATCTTTAGGAAACAGGAAAAATAGCTGCAAGACTCCATATGTTATCAGTCTTAATTTTATTCCCTCCAAGTCTCATAATCCTCCTTCCATTTGTTCCAATAGTTTACTTACCACCTCCCTGAGGGTACCTGAGACAAATCACTTGTTATCTCTTGACCACAGATGTGACATTACTTAAAGCACAGGCTGAACAATGGTATCAGTCTCTGTGTTTTCCTCTCCCTTACTCTGTTGGAGCATGGGACTAATGCCACCCACTCTCTTGCACTTGATATTCAGAGAATTAAACACTTAACAAATACAAGCTGTTTTTTGGTTTTTTAAATAACCATAAGGGTCTCTCAATAGATCACAATGAATTTGAACTCGTTTGACTGTGTAAGATAAGTCAATTTAAATATTTTTTTAGCATGTTTCGCGGTGAAACAGCATTTTACCAACAAGCTTGAAAGCAAGGATGACAGCTGGGCTGATGGCAGAGTAACCTCTTATCCTATGGAATTATTGCCAGGGCTGTTGAAAAAAAAGTTAGACAACATTCCCATACTGAATATTTACCCCAGGATTCTAAATCAGAATACTTACTCCTGAAAATAATGCTTTCTGTTTAGATTAGACAAGATTAATTCAACTTGCAGGGTCAACTTTGTAAGGCATAATCAGCAAAGGACTACAGCAGCATGACCTCAAGGACCAGATGGCAAACGAGAGAAAAATATGGAATACCAGGATTACTCAACAGCAAAAATTATGCATAAGCATTTATATAATACATGCCTTTTGAATAAAAAAACATTTATTCTACAGCTGGCAAGTAAAAGGAGAGGGTGGCTCACTAAGAACTGTTGTGATTGAAGAGCAAATTGAGCCAGAGCCACACATCAGAGAAGGCACAAGAAAAGGTGAGGCTGTCCAAGAGAAGGGAAGATCAAGAAGCACCAGTGTATGATGGCTAAAAGAAAAACTGGTGAGGAACAGGAAGAAAGTTAGGAAAGCTTGGATCTTTGTGGAGGCAGGAGAAGAGGAACAGGAAAATACTGGTATGGTCAAGCTGCAGGGTTGGAAATGGGTTTTACCAGCAGAACAAACTCCACTTACCAATGTAATGCATCCAAATAGAACAGCACGGGGGGGGGTGGTTTGTTGGTGGTTTTACCCTCTCCCTCCCCATAAAATGTCTTTCAGAAAATCCACAATAATAAAAACTTAAACATCTTTCTCATCCTTTGCCAGCAGCTGTCTTTACAATTCTCATGTGATTTGGTGGCCAGGCACTAGCAAAATTAACTTCTATTTGCTACCAGTTCAATACTCAGCTGCTTTATCTGCAGATCCCTAGAAAATTTGATTTGCCCAGTCAAAGTACTTTGAGTCATATGCTGAGAAGGCAAGTAGAAACAGCTAATTCTTTATAAATTAGTTCTTTGTGACTTCACCAGTGTTTGCAGAGCACCTGCAGAAAAAATAATTACATTCCTTCAGAGCTCCTGGTGAAACAAGTCCCATATCTCTGGGAGCCAGGCCTTGGTTTAAGTGCACTCCTGGAGCAAAGATGGGAAAACACATGGAAATCAAGATTTTGCAGTTCTGTTGGCACAGGAGCACAACACAGTGTTTATTGAGAATAGCAAATTTTATGTTGACACTTTGGATCCTCACATCAGGGACAGCACCTCCTCTCTTTGTGGGTGTAGCAATCAACAAGCAAGGTAGTTGCCATCCAAATTGGCTTTGAGAGCACTAACGTAAGTAAATATTCCCTTTTATTGAGAAGCCAGCCACAAAATAATAAAATGCAATTACTGGGAGAGCAAGGGGGAAATTGCCTGCCTGCAATCACTCATAATACACTTCAGAAATATTCTAATTTTTATTCCATTTTTGAGTGCCACTTGAAAACAAGAGTTTTCAGCTCAGACAAAGGCTTCAGCATGTCCTGGTGGTCCTTGTCCAAGGCTCCTGGCCCCAGGGGTGCTGGCTGCTCCCTGTTCCACAAAACACAGAGACAAATGAGCCCAGTGGTGAAAATGAAGGCCAATGACAAACATGGGGAGGTTCTAAAATTTAGAACTCCGTGAGCTGCCTAAATTGGTCTAGGAACTCTTCCAGCTTTGAAAACAACCAGAAATTAGGATATAAAACACATGGGCTGTGTTTTGCAGCACATACCTGCAGAAGGCTGAGCGCAGAATTTGACCCTGGATGTAACATCTGAGTCCCCTTTTGCACATTTTCCTGAGTGCCACCAGAGATTTGTGTTCCCTGTCAGTGCCACACACCTCCTTACAGCACACACTGTTTCTGACAGCTGGGTTCATGACCTGGAATGGTTTCATTCCCTCTGTGGAAAGCAAGAGAAAGTCTTCTCTGGCTCAGTGTGTCCTGCATGCCACTCTCTCAAACCATGATTGGCTGTTTCAGCTCTTAGTGAGACACTTTCTGCCAAATCTGGGCTTTAGATAACTTTAGTTTATGCCACAAAATCTCTCCAGCCAAATATATTCTGTATTTCCGTCAAACACTTACGGTATATTATGTAGGCTATTAAAAAAATAATAAAATTAGGTCTGTTTTGTGAAGGTAAGGAGTAGTATTTTTTGTTTTCTTTTAATACCAATGTAATAATTGTTAAGTACAACTTTAATGTAGAGTTTAATTTTGAAGGTATACACTAAATATTTAATTTAAATATTTCAAAGTATTATTTTTAAATTGAAGGAAGTGATTAGAATGATGCAAATTACTGGGAGCTTACTGATACAGAACTAGGAACTACCTAAGTTTGCTGTTTGAATTTAGTCACCATGATTATAACTGGCTAGGCTAAGCCCCAGCTACAATTCTCATGTGATCAATGAGGCATGCATGTCACTGCAGTTCAGTGAGCTGCCTACACTTAAACCTGATTGAAGCTTAAGTAGATCAGAAAGATGGTCAGGCTGTGACGTGTTCTCTAAGGCCAAATCTCCACAGGAGAAAGAGAATCCCCCAAATTTTAATAATTTCTTTTCAAATTACTCGGTTAGTCAGTTTAAACCAAATATGTTCTAATTGAACAATCAAAAAATGCTCTCAGATCTATCATCTGGTAACTTGGATAAAATTACATCCTTATGTTTCTTTAGGATAGTTTAATGCCTTTAATCCTTGATTATGTAACAGTGCTTTAATCTAAGATAAATTGCAAAAGAGCAACAAGGGCTTCAAGAGTTTTGATTTTCAGATTCAGTTTGGCCTAAAGGCACCTTATGCTCTCAGAACACCCCAGCAGAAAGCTTTAGATCCCAGCAGAAGCCTTGGCTGGTTTGGGATTGTGTCAGGTCCAGAAGAGATACCGGGGTTTAACTTTTATGCTCTGCAGAGTTATGAAGTTTGATCAGCCTTTGGTGTGCATGCATGAGTGCTGCAGCACCTGAGCAGCATTCAGTGTGTTTGTGCTCATCTGTGGGACAGTTTTTAATCCTTTCCTCTGTCTGTGGTGTCTGCTGCCCCTTCAAAATAGAGTCCTTCTACTTATTTACACAGCCAGACAGAGCAGGTTTGTCAGTCAATTGTTAATTATTCACACTTCAAACACCAAATATCCCAGTTGTAGTTACTCTAACTCCTGCAGCTGACATAAATAATACTTAAAAACCCAAAATCTGTACCTCTAGAGAAAGACAGAAAATATAGCTGCAGAATACACTCAGTTCTTCTTTCAAAAAGTTACTTAGATAAGGATATTGCTGGCATGTTATAGGTATAAAGACAATGATGTACTTCAGATACATTTTATTGCCTAGATAATTTTTATGGCAGAGGGGAGCAATGGCTTATTCAAAGTCACAAAAATAACAATATTTGGTAAGGTTAGTGCTCTACCTAGCAGTGAGGTTTAGGCCCAAGAAAATAAAAAATTTAAAAGCCAAAGAGCACAGGTACCTAGCAGACACCAGAAATGCAAGTTTTGGTTGGGAGAGTCCCAAATTTGATGCACTTCCCTCAAACACGGCAAGACAACCTCAAAAGACAACCTGAGAAATAAAGAAAACTCTTTGCAATTCAGTTTGCCTCAGCTGAGAGAGCAGAAAAAAATGACAAGAAAGTGCCACTCAGCAGTGTTTTTGTCATTGCTGCTATTCAAAATAAAATGGGGACCATCACACCACTGCTTTGCAATGAGACCTCCAATCAATCATTATTATGAGGACAAATGAAAGGTGCTATTCACCTGAGCTGAATGTAAATTAGAGACTTCACTATAATAAATCCTGGCTAAAATATTAAACTCAATGAAATTACATTCGTTAATTCAAAAAATAAATTATCCCCTGACATGTGAAAAGCTCTATACTCTTATGTGAGAGCAACTGAAGTCTTTGGGGATGTTTAATGGAGAAGAATAAAATTTCTTTGTGGAAAGAAGGGAGGAAAGTCTGCCAAATATTTTAGAGAACATTCTTCTCTTGATACGCTTAAAAATATGAATAAAAACTTTTACATTCATAATTTACTGGAAGGTCTTAAATAAAAAGAGATTTTGTGAAGTTCTATCTCCTCATAAAGAGAGGAGAGGCATTTATTGAAAAAGTTGTAATGTTGACTACCAGGGGATATTAATGCTGTTCCCAATAAGGACCACAGCCCATTGGGAGGTCACCTTTAGCATGGGTTCTTCCACACAATTTCCTCCCATCTGAGGAGGGGAAAAGAGATTTCCTCCTGCTTCCCATCAACTTTTGGCCTTGCAACTACTCAAGAAACGTCACACTAGATGTAAAGCTGGTAAACAAATTCCCTCTCCTTTACTTAGTCTCCAGTTCCTCTCTGCAGCCCCAGGTGGGAGTGCCAGCAGATTATTTCAATAAACTTCTGGAGGCTATGGCCCTGCTTGCAGAAAAGCACCTGCCTGCCAGCTGCTGAGGTCACACATGGCAGCATGTCCAGCCTTGATTTCCACTCCTGAAACTCACCTGTGTTTTCCATAAGGAGGCACAGACACAGTGGTACACGGATGGGAATCCATGGTTTGCTGCTCCTAAACAAAAGCCACTGGGCTGAGGTGGGTCCAAGCTTACTGGTACACTCTTGAATTCTTCACCAGCCACTGCTGAGCTTGAGAAGGAGACAGAGGATGTGCCTTCCACCTACCTTGCTCTGGCCATTTTCTACCACCTGAAGAAAAAAATGGAAAAAAATAAGTGTGTGGATTCATTCCAGCCTTAATGCTTAGTGTCTGAGTGTGCCCACAGGGCTGTTACTTGCCAAATTTCTTTGGGCAGGTTTTTCCTACTGACCTGATCACCTGACCTGATTGCAGAGAGCCAAGAAGAATTGTAGTGAAATATAAGAAATGAGATGAGCAACTGATAGAAGTCAAGGCAGAGGGAATAATGACATTTGTCATTAGTTGCCATTCAGAAGGCTGTTATGAAAAGAGATGTGTTTTGCTCTCTGTAAGAACAAAAACTTGTCAGAGAGGTAGCAAATTGAATATTAGGAGATAATTCTAATAATGCAGGTGGAGAAACACAGGCACAGGTTACCAAAAAGGCATTTACACTGGGACATGAAGCACAGCACAACTGAGCACTGAGCAGAAAAAGAGAGCGGCTGTTACAATCACATGCTACCACTTCTTGTTTTTTCATAAAAAGGCACAGTCAAGCAGCTGAATGTAACACATGTATTAAAAACATTCAAAGTTAAGGCCACTGCACCCAGTTTGGCAGGTTTTAAGTACTGCATGCCCAATATTTGTGGTGGTGTTTGCAGGGGTCTTAGGATGAGGGAAGAGACGAGAATGTTGACTCCATGTTTCAGAAGGTTTGATTTATTATTTTATGATATATATTATATTAAAACTATACTAAAAGAATAGAAGAAAAGATTTCATAAGAAGGCTGGCTAAGAATAGAAAAGGAATGATAACAAAAGCTTGTGACTGACTGAGATAGTCTGGACAGCTGGACTGTGATTGGCCATTAATTAGAAACAACCACGTGAGACCAATCACAGATCCACTTTTTGCATTCCACAGCAGCAGATAATCATTGTTTACATTTTGTTCTTAAGGCTTCTCAGCTTCTCAGGAGAAAAATCCTAAGGACAGGATTTTTCATAAAACATGTCTGTGACAAATATTTACTACAGAGAGTGGAGCCTCTAAACAACGTCGTGCTGCCCCCTAAACTCCACCACAAAACCCTCTCTTCCCCCCTGTGACCCTGCACATCTCCAGAGCTCAGGAAGGTCTGTCCACCAGCAGCTCCCAGGTGCCTCACCACAGCAATCTGTAGCACACATAGCATGGAACAGATGATTTACCAGAAACCCAGAGCTGTGGGTTTCTGTGGATTTTTATTTCCTATTTCATAACACTGCTAGTTATCCACACTGGAATGCATGATGAATATATCTATACAAGCCTAGTGGAAAAAACATACTGGGCATTATCCATTTTGTATTTTTCAAAGGCTCAGAAAGTTGGCCAAATCAGAACCAATTTCCACTGAAATGCTCTAAAGTCCTTCCCAATGAAAGCTGTAATCATGGCCAAATGTCAGTTCTCAAAAGAGCTATTCAAATATTAATTTTCAAATGTTTTTACAAAGGGAAAAATATTGGGGCTTTTTTCTTATTTTTACATTTACAAACAGAACACAGGCATCTCACAGAGATTTATTAAACTGTGAAAAAGGGCTGCCTTTCTCAAGCAACATTTTAGCCTCAGAAGAGGAAGGTTGTGCCAGATTGAAAAGGGGTAATTTTGATGTCTACCTCCATCATGCAGTGTTTGATTTTGCAAGATCATTGCAGTAAGTTCATAATCAATTATATTAATATGGATTCCTTGCCAGATTGAGGACACTGCCTCATCATACCCTGACCAGGGCACCTCCCTGGGTGGGGGAAGCAGCAGCACTGACATCCCACGTGCTCAGCCCACACCTGCCCTCACACCTACTCAGCTCAAAGGGTTTTATCACTCAAAGCAATAAACTGCCAAGTCACATAAAAAATCAGTGTTAAATAATTCAGAAAAGAAAGTAAACCAGCAAGTACATCATGACTCATTCTCATCTACATGTTTGTTTTTGCAGACTCCCAAAAGCCTACCAATGCTTTGCTGCTTATAGGAGTGTAATAAACTACCCTCAAAAGGTAGCTCACACCAAAATATAAATAATATTTTTCACTGGTATGCTGAACAAAACTTTTATTAAGGCAGCAAAATGAACTTTTCACTTCATAATTTCATTTAAAGAAATTACAAGTATTTGGTATGTTTATGTGGACTTTGTTGCAGTGAGGCACAAGTGTCATGTTATCCATTTTAAATAAGCTCAGGCTTTAGATCAAAAGAGAAAACATAGCTGACTCCATTTTACTTTGTAAAAGTTTATGACTATCTCAGAGTATATTTTCTTTAATATTCTGGTTCACCTCTAGCTTTCACCTGTTGTTTGCAGCATCTGGTATCATTAGCCTGTGGGAGGAACAAGATTAACATCTGATATTCTGGGGGAGGGAAGGGAAAATGATCATATTTTTGTACCTTCTTTAAAAATGTCCTGTTATTATTTGCTATTTTTACAGCCTTCATTAAACATACAAAGAGGGAACTTCCAATCCAACTTGTTTGATGGTTTAGTGTTTTATGCCCGAGAGCAAATCCAACAGAGGGAGAGGGACAGGAGTCCCAGCAGAGAACTCAGAGTCACCCCTTCCTTGGTGGCAGAGCTCCCAGCTGTCCTGCAGCATTGCAGGGAGCAGCTGCTTCCCTGAGCTGCTGGCATCTCCAGGAGCCACAGGCACACCAGGAGCCTGCCTCTGCCAGCCCTCTCCCCAGACTGGAATACCATGGCCTGGAGGGTGCATCTCCAGCCTCAGAAAGAACACCATGCAAGCAAGTACAGCTAGTTCTATTCTCAACCCCTTCAGTGTCTCCTAATTTTTCTCACATTATGAGTAGACAATATATTAGTGGTCAGACTCCATTGTCATCTTTTGACTGAGTTTGAAATGTCCCTGACAGAAGCCCTTACATCTGTCTTTAACTTGGTTTCCGCCCTGACATGACATTTCCAACTCTGTCAATCCTAAAAACCAGGGAAAGCTTATGTTCTATCTCAAATACAGCTATAGTCAGGACAGTCCAACACAGCTATTTAATTATGGTATTATGGCAAATCCCTAAGATATATTTGTGTAGCTTGGGCTGGAAAGGACTGGAGCTGGCATCTGGCATAGCTCACAGGAGATACACTCCCAACCTGCAAACTTCCAAACCTGCAAACTCCCAAACCTGCACTGGCATCTCAGCTGGTCCACGGTCTCTGAAAGAGCTGACAAACTTGCTGTGGATGGAAGCAGCAGCTGCTGAAAGGCACCTTATAGAAGATAGATTTTTTTTTTAATTAATTCACTCCTTGCAACAAAGGAAAGCAAAAGCTAGGGAAGCTAGGAAATAATGTCTGCACCTAACTAAACTTCCTACCAGGAGAAAGTGCCCCTTAAAGAAAGCACATCCTCCTCAAATCTTTAATTCCATCCCCTTTCCTCATCCTGCTCAGCAATCTGACACCCTTTAAGCTTGGCAGATAATTCTCCTTAGCTGAGCCTCCAACACCCTGCAATACATATTTCCAGCATGTTAGAAATACCTCTAGCTTAGGAATTGCTGGACTAACTAATGCTCAGTGCAGAATTTTAAAGTAGTCTGTACTCTAAAACAACACTTGATCTGCATTGCTCCTCTCCCAAAATCTCAGTAGATTTAGCTGACTGTCATCCTGTTTCAAGGTATTGCTCTCCTCCATCATTTTCACAGCAGACCAAAATCCAGGGTTCACACTGGTTACAAAAAGCAGAGCTCTAGGACTGAATTACCATCTCCTAATAAAGATTCCTCTTTTGAACAGAGTCTCTGCTGTTTACTGAGGCATCTGACAAAATTCAGTCCTGCATCAGGATTATTTTTGTCTGCTGCAGAAAGTGTCAAAATAAATCCAGAATCCATTTTAATGCTAATTTATTTAAATTAATTGGATAGACATGCATATTAATTGTATTTTCAAATTCTTTTCAGATATTTTTGGGGAACAGTTAAAGCAAGAGGGAAAACATCTGTTCCAGGTGAATGACATACATAAAAGCCATCAACTGGAGTATAATACCAAGGGTGGATGGGCCACTAACATTTCTCCACAATCAGTGTCTTAAGCATCTTAACAGCCTGAGCCTAAAAATCATGAGAGCCTTTGTTTCTGAACAGTTATGCTAATAAGATGTAAATATACATAATTAGATATGGAAGATACACTGAGCTAACAGAAAACCAAATGGATTAGATCTGAAATTCTAATATTGTACTTAAAAAAACAAAGGCCAAGTTCAACTTCCAGCTCTGCTGGTGCACTTGTTCCAGTGGTATTACTCCAGATTTACATAGCAAAGACCTGAACCTCAGTATAGGCTGAGAATTAAATGAAATCCCCACAAAGAATGCATGCTGTATCTGTATCTTATTTTTATGAATGCTACCATTTTTTCCTCACCCGGTCTAGAATTATTACAGTCCTGTAAAAAACTTAATGTAATTTGTAATATAATTAAATGCAGAGTCAATTAATATTTTTCAGAAGCATATATGATAGAAAACAAAAGGAAGAAAGACAAGTATATTACTTGAAAAGCAGCTACTTTTAAAAACTGTTCTAGTTAGCCAGGATGACAAGATAGTTAAATGACTTATTAAATTAAAAAATTTTGTTACCCACATAAAGATTAATTCAACCCACTCACAGGTGACGTGTTCACATCATGCTTAAAAAATTAAAGTATGCCCAAGCATCTCTTGCACACTGAAAGTCACATGATCTTTTCAAAGGGCTGCTTTATACTTGCAGTGCTTTCCTAGGACTGAAATTTTGCTAAAAGGACAGCATGCACAGTAAACACCTAAAGTCTTATCAGCAAGCAAAGCACTTTCTTTGATTTTTTCCATAAAGCTTCACTTTCTATTCCAGCTTTCACTGTTTCTGTTAGGTCAGACCTAAAGGCCCATGATAGATAGAGGAATATATGTGGAGTTAATTACAGGCCCTGGAGAGTAGCCAAGAGGATACACAGCTATGGAACATTTACTCACATTCTCTAGGTCATATGAACAA